AATGCCTGAATCACTGAAGCAGAGATTCGGCCACTACACACCAGGGTCTTTTTTAGCAGTCATGATAAATCTCTTCTGAGTTTGGCCAGACACAAATAGACTCTATCTGCAGCCAGGCAAATCAAAGCCTCACGCTTCCTCCTCTTCTGGGCTCAAGCTGACCCTGGCACTTTCACCCATCTTCTTCCTTCTGCAGCACTAAGACCCAAGAAGAAATCACCCGGGCTTGGTTGCCCCTGTCTCAATGACTCATGTGATCCAGCAAAAAAAGCCCCCTTATTGGCCCTGAGGAGGGCTGGCATCCAGGCCCAGAGCTTCCCATCACTTGCGCATGAGACCCGGGTCCCAGCATACCTTGACCAGATGCCCCACTGGGAAACTCGGCTCCAGTCCTGCTCTGGGTGACTCGGGAGCCTGGCTGGCAGCGACCTAGACACACTGGCTTTCCGGCTCCCATTCCCAGGCTCCTTCCACGGTCCTAGCTACCTTGTGATCAGAGCTGCCCCCGGTTTGGCATCCATCTTCAAGACTTGTAGCAACCGCTAACCCAAGCCTCCCGCACAAAGCAGGGAACAAGGCATTTGCAACAGAATGTAAAACCCAAGCTAGCATACTCACTTTGTTGTGCTTGCCCTGATGGGGCATCCATAGCTCTGCCTGCTTAAAGAGCATGGGATAGAGCCTGAGCCACAGGGATCAGCTACAGAACTTCCAACACCGCCCTCAAAAAGAGAGAGAGAGAAAGGCACAGAAAGAGAGAGAGGGAGAAAGAGTGAGAGAAGAGAATAAAGAGGGGAGAGCTAGAGAGCGTGCGAGCCAGGAGCCGGGTGCTGCAGAGAATCCGGTGCAGCAGAGTAGAGCTTCAATCTGCTGATTAATTCAGCCTATTTCCAGTCACGCTGCAGATTTAGGGAGGGAGGAGGAGGCAGCCACAGCCGTGGGAGGGAGGGAGAGGCAAGAGGGAGGGAAGGAGGAGAGAGGAGGTTGAGAGGAGAAAAGTTTGTACGATGCTCTGCCAGATGTCCAGAAGCTTGGCCCACTCATCAGAGAAGGTCACTGAGGGGTGAGCAGAGGGGCGACGTGCAGCCAGGGGTGTATGGACGCACGCATGGGAGGAGAACTATGCAGGAAATGGCTGCTGTTGGCCCAGGGCCCTGAGGGCAACTGCCGGCATCAAGAAGTACCTGGGCTCTCTTCCCAGACTACCTTTCCTTGGCCCCAAGTCACTGGACAAGGTTAGGAACCCCACTGTGGTGAGCCTGCCATCCATGAGAGCTCCCCAAAATCACTCAGAGACTCCTAGCATGGAGCCACGCCAACAATAGCTCTTTCCACATTAGAGCCACAGGAAGGAGGGGAGAGGGGACTTGCGAGTTACTAATAGCAGCACATCCTGAGTGGAGCGGGGAGAACTGGCAATTGAGAAGACTGGAGCAGTGACTTCTAGGAGGCAGAGCAGGGGGCCAGGGAGCTAGTGGAAGAATCCAGCAGAAGAGGGAAGAGCCAAAAGGAAAGGCCTCTGAGGGTTCCAGCGCTTAGGACCCAATACCTTCCCATCAGGTTGGGGCGGGTTCCAATAGCCGCTATTCAATGCGAGGGCAGAGATTGGCCAGCAGCTGGTGAATGTCCAGCCACGTTTAGACACACCTGCCAAAGCACCACTGGGACCAAGAGACGGCCTGCAGACACCTGGGCCTCATCTCTCAGGCGGAAAGAGGAGGCCAGTGACCTGGGGCTCCCGCCTCAGCACCTCCGGAGCATCAGGCAGAGCCTACGCATCACTCTGGGACCCCAAGTCTGACACACAAGAAGCTCTCAGCACTGACCCCCTGGGTGAAGGAGGGGCCAAAGGCCCTGGGAGTGGACAGGAAACTTCTCTAAGTCCAGGCTACCCCTAGGATGGGACTGCAAAACCCCGAGGGAGAGGAAGCAGCCTAACAGGTCCAATAACCCAAGAGCGCAGGCTGGAGCCCGAGCATGTTTCTCCAGGGCGCTGTTTCCTAGACAACACCATCTGAGCCGCAGGGAAGAGAGAGCCTCAGCAAGTTCAAGCTGGCCTCTCCCCTCCCTCTTCTCTAGCACAGCTCCCCGTGGGGCCCGTGCCAAACCCAGGGCAGAATTGGAACAGAAAAGGAGGGGCCAGGCAGTCCAGAGGTTAAGGGCAGGAAGTCCCCATGAGGCAAAGGCCAGGGGGAGGAGGGGTCAGCTTCCGAGCCAGCCACTCTGAGGATGGCTGCCGCCTTAGCAAACTGCCAATTCCCGTTCCCCTGTCCCCTGCTCCCAGGTCACACTTCCCCTTGAGCTTTCTACCAAGGCACTGCTCTGCAGGAACCAAAACTAAGCCAACACTCTCCCTCCTGGGCAACAGGCCCTAGAAAGATCAGCTAACAGGGTCTGACCCAGGTGTCCTGCAGGGCCCTCCATGCAACTCTCTCCCGTCCTGACCCCTTCCTACACTGCCCACGTCAGCAAGTGAAGGCGAGCTCTGCATCTAAGAGGCAGAACCCCAGCCGTCACTGCTACAGCACGCCACCGTGGTTGCAGGACTGGAGACGGGAGAGAAGGCTCCGAGGACACTGAGGACGGGCGGGTCATAAAAAGATGGGGGGCAGGGGGCAGAAAATAAACCAGCAACAGCCAAATCGATCCTGGGCTACTGCCAGGGGATGACAGGCCATCTTACCATCAACCACCACCACGCCAAACCTCCCACTCCTACTCTTCCAGGAAGCCTTCGACTGTTGGAGGTCATGAGGATTATCTTTAGAAGCCTATTTATACAACTCGCATGGTACCTCAGGTAGAAACCCCGTCAGGTTCTGTGACTTAGCTGCGTGTACTATCAATTCCTCCACTAGACTGTAGTGTCTCCAAGCCAGGGGCCACCTCCTCAGTGCCTAGAGTTCTGCCAACCCAAAGGAAGCATTCCATAAATATGGCTGATGATGATGGTGATGATGCTTTCTAGTTCAGGACACACCTATCCAGAAAGAGAAAGAAGAGGATAGAGAAAAATCCTCCAGGAAAATGGCCCCTGCGAGCTTATCCAGCCTGGGCGCTCAAGTGTTCTTCCTCAGGCTTGAGAAGCCAGCCCCCTGGATCACAGAACTTTGTTTCTCCAATTCACTAGCAACTGGTGTTTCAGCAACAGGCTGGAACCAGAGGACAATACTGTCCTCTGTTTTTGGGACATTCAGCCTCACCCAGGCAGGCCACCACATTGCACAACACCATAGCCTCTAGGGTGGTACTCCCTGGAATTGAGCAGTGCACAGCCCTTGCAACTGTATGCAGCAGCCTTGCACCCAGGCTAGGGCAGAGGCAAGTGCAGTTTTCCCTCTGTACCAATCACTGTTGGTATGGACACCTGCAGAGCAGCCAGAGGTGTCTGTGAACAGGACGCTGAACCCATCTGCTTCAGGTCCACAAGCCTGTTCCACAGCTTGTCCAGAGGCATGTGAAGCCTGGAGCTGAATAAATCAGCCATCAGCCAGGAACCACCAGAGGCCCAGTGTGGGGACCCACAGCTCCCTCTCCAAACCTCCCAAGATTTCTTTGGCAGAAAGATCACTATCCATAAGTTCAAGTCAATAAATATTTACTAAGCGTTTGCTACATGCCAGGCTCTATGCTAGGAGCCAGGGACACTGAGATAAAGTGGGATAGACAGATTATTTCAATACAGTATAACAAGTACAATGGTGGAGATACTATGAATATTGACAAGAGTGACCTCTGGAGCAGGGAAGGAGGACTTATCTAGAGAAGGTGATGCCTAACCTGGGTCTTGAAGAAAGAATAGTAGGAGTTTGCCAAGAAAAAGGGTGGGGAGCATTTTAGGGTAAGAGCCTAAATGTAGAATGTGTGTCCCAACTCTGAAGCATTCATAAAGGCCAAGGCAGGGGAGGCTAGGGACGCTGGGCCGATGGGCAGGAACGGGATTATGGAGGGCTCTGTATACCACCCGAAAGGTTTAGGCAGGTGGCACGGAGCCACTGACGACTTTGAAGCAGCTCTGCATTTTGGATAGCTTTCTCTGTCAGCTGAGTGGAGGAAGGAGATCAGAGACAGAGGGACCTGTCAGGAAGGTGTGGCAGAAGTCCAGGCAAGAGACAAAAGGACCTCCTCTATGGCAGTCTTCATCACGGAAGAGGGATACTCTGACGACAACTCTACCTCCAGGCAGAGACAGTGTACCTGGAGGCCCGGCACACCTCCAGCTGATTATGCAGCTGTGTTTGGAGTCTGATTGGGGAGCTCTTCCCTAACCACAGAGAGGGTGCCCAACAGTACTCAACATGGCTCAGCAGGTTGGGGCAGAGCCCCAGCAAAGTGCAAACAAACAAAATTACACAGCCCTGGGCAAGAAGCAGGAGACTGGCTCGGAGCCAACCCAAATCAGAATCCTGCTCCCTCGGGCCGGCCCCACGGCTTAGCAGTTGGGTGCGCGCGCTCCACTGCTGGCGGCCCGGGTTTGGATCCCGGGGCGCCGTTTCTCCGGCCATGCTGAGGCCGCGTCCCACATGCAGCAACTAGAAGGATGTGCAGCTATGACATGCAGCTATCTGCTGGGGCTTTGGGGGAATAAATAAATAAATAAAATTAAAAATAAAAAAAATAATA